TTAGTGAAATACCATTTTCCTGTCCTTCCACCAACAATCTCTTCTAGTTCTGCATATGTTGAGGATGCTAAAAGGTATATCCATATTTTTTCTGTTTATACATATTATGTCAGAAGTTGCCAGGCAGGGGTGGATCAAGGGGAGCGGGGTGCTGCACTGGTGCACTTGCACCCCACTTTGATTCCTGGTCCACCCAAAGTTTAAAACCAACATGCCTCGCAGTAGCAGTAGCAGCAGCATATCTAGTCAGGCAGTGTTAAGATAGTCAGTTGACTTCATGGTTTAATCTACCTGAACCCTTCTAAACTCTTCATTCTACAGCTGTTAATGACCCTATCTTCTTTTTTAATGGTCTTGATGCTCCACAAATGATGCTATCCTTTATTCTGCAATTCTGCTCTCTGTTAGCTGCTCCTGGTAATGAAGCTTCTATTTCGCAGCCCTGCAGATTGGTTTTAACTCATTCCAATGAATTTGTAGTTGTTTTTGCTTCAATCTTAAACTGAATGCTTAAACTGAATGCCTCTAGCATATTAGTAAAGCATCTTTTTAACTGGAGAAAACCATGTGTTGTTTCGTAAGAGATGATGCACCTCACTATCTTATCTGCATACCACTTTTTAAAATTCCAGATCCACACACTTCCAGGTATACATTTAATTATTCAGAAGTAAATTCATAACAGGCTTATTTTTTCAGACTTATTGAAACTCATCCTTGTTGACAACAAAACTATATATTATTCTGTTTCTTAAGTTAGAGTTGAACTCTTCTTTTCTATAGTGACCTGGTTATCATCTCTTTTTTTCCCCTCTATGTATATCATATGCCTGGAACTATGTGACAATTGGTTTAGTTTATGCTAAAGTATATTATACTTTGTAATATTCTGTTGTCTTACTAAATAGATGAAAATTGCTTTTTTAAGGCTCCAGGTTTTTACAGGATCCTATAACAGATTTTTTGTAAGGTTCCCTTTGTAGAACTGAGAACTTGTATTTTATTTAATATTGTACTATATGTCCATAAACTTGTGTGTTAGATATCCAGTTACATGATGTCTTTACAATTTCAGTTCAGTGGTTAATTAATTTGTGTGTCCTTTAAGACCTGAGGGTATAAACACTTATAAAGAGGTCAGTAATAATACAATATGGCAGTAAGTTTTTAATTTTCTACTCAGTGTCTGTAAATCTGTTGACATTTCTAGTCTGCCATACCTTATTCAGATAGATTTTCTAAGATACAAAATGTTAAATTGCTTAAAGATGTAAGGGCTCTAAAATTTGAATCCACTGTTATTGCATGTCATATGTGATTTTAACCTTAAAATACAGCAGAAGTTCATGCTTAGTGAACATTGTCAAGTTGGAATGCTTGATAAAAGGTGTGATGTACTACCCTAAGTGAATCTCACTGGTACAATAAATTTGACTTTATATAATCATTTTGGTATTGCACCATCACTTCTCAGCCTTTTGGCTAAGATGACATGAAATGATGTAATAATTTTATTTAAAGTTCTTTTTATGTTGGATTTGATCTAAGGGGGAATGCGTTAGAATTTTTATTACTGCGTATAGACAGCAAAAGGTATTTATTCTTTGTTAGAGAAGAAAAATGGAATACTTACATTTGTATAAAATATAATTTATAGTCAAGGTTTTGTCTATTTTATTTAATATAAAATAATTTTTCATTATGTAATGATCTCCTTTTAAAGTATTTAAATACATATATAATATAATATAGGATTTGGCATTACATACATGCTTCTGAAAAGTTGCTAGTGAAGGACAGAAGTAGATATGTAGGTCTTGTAATAGATATTTTATATTTTTATAATAGAACATTTATCCCAGGTGCTACAATATAGGCCAGTCCTGCAAAGAACACTATATAGTCTGCTCTCCAGCAGACTATATAGTCCTGCTCTCTTAAGAATCCTTTTTAAGACTTAAATCCCATCCTATCTTCTGAAGTTATGATAGTGTAAATATATTTCCATTACAGATGTACTAATGTTCAGTATTTTCAAACCTTTATAGTTTTGTAATACATGTTTTTATCCATGTTAATACTTAAAAATCCATTCAATGGTTTTGAATTTACATGTGTGTAAAAAGGAAGAAGATTCTTTTAAGATGCTTCCATTTCACACCAAAATATAGTATGCAAAATCCCTAATTGGACAGCCTTGTTTTTTGGTATTAAATAGTGCTCTTAATCACTTTGGCCATGCTGATTTGTTAATGGTACTGGTAGAAAACTGAGAATTACTAAATCTTGGGTTCTGATTCTGGTCTCATCATACTGGTTCAAATCAGTTGCAACTCCACAGATATTAATAAAATCAACATAAGAAAGGCCTCAATATTTTCTTTGACTTCTGAAACATGGTGAGCACGGTAAAGTGCTGAGCCCCAGTGAAATCAATGAGAATTAAGGGTCTTGGGGGATACCTTCACTAGTATCCAGTCCACAGTGTTTTAGAGATATGGTTTTCAGAACATTTTTTATCTTCACTAGTATACTGAACATAGGTGAGTGGGGAAGGGCAATTTAAAAGGAAGAAACATCTCAAACATGAAGGGAAGGGAAATGATATCCCTGCACAGACAGAAAGGAAAGGTGAAAAACAGTGTATGAAAAACAACATCAAAACATGGAGAAAGAAGAAGAGCCAAGTGAGTATGCATGTTAGCTTTCTATACTTAGTCCTCAGAAAATATTTTCCATTTGTTAACACAAGGATTTATTTTTGCACAATTGAAGCTTTACTGTCTTGGTTAACTATTGTACAACAGTCTGTCTATTAAAAACACCATCAAGGTTACTTCTAAGTAAAGATTTTGTAAGTGACTTATGTGTAGACTATCCAAATCTCAAATTGTATTGACCCACAAGAAGTTATGCTTGTCCCACTGTCTTCTCAAAATTGGATCTTTTTAATAATTAAGTTGGATGAAAGTTCTGTTATATTTTATGTATTGTAGGTGCACATACATAAACACTACAGTGTTGATTATTTGGAATAATAAGTCACCATCATTCTTGATAATCAGTACTTCCAGATAATCAAACACCACAGTATGAAGTGCTGAAACCTATACTTTAATTACTGGACTGGACAGTGAATATACATTACAGAACTTAAACTGGTAGACACAACATTTTTGTTGTTGTAAATACAAAACCTTTCAGTCAATCCACATTCTGGATAATCAGCTCCTGGGTAATCAATGATGTATTCTATATGTATTTACACTGTTTTTTTCAGCGACTAGTAATCATTAATTGTCTTTTTCATATTGTAACCCATAATGGCAACAGGTCATGGGTCCAAGACTGGGCTTGAAGTTCTTTGTAAACACCTTTGCTACAGCTGAGTGCTTACAAATCATGAAGAGTATACGTAGCTAATAATGTTACATCCTGTCCCAAAAAGCAGTATGAAGTACAAGTAGTAGTCTAATCCAGGAGAAAGTTTTTGATAACATAATGAGCTGACCAATTAAACCACTACTTGTGCCATTTGGAAGAATTTACAAAGAAACCGAGAAACTAAGAACCAGAAACTAAGCTAGGAATCCTGGGCACATCTACTAGCTTATCAACATCAATTTAAGTGATTTCAGCAAAGTCATGTAATAACGAAATATAACCGTAGAAAAGTAGATTTAGTTACTTTACCTTTAATTACAGGATAGACATCGGTGTAAGTAATTTTCATCCACAAACTGTAAAACATGAAAAAATAATAAAAATAACTTAATCGATAAAACCTGTAAATTTATATGATTGGTTCAAATACCTACAGAATGATTACTGTACAATAATAATGTGTTAATAGCCAGTTTTCAGGGAAGTTGCATAACTTTTTAATTGATGCCATGAGTTTTTTATACGAACAGCAATAGACCTTCTGAATTCAAACTTGCTTATTTTTAAAAATAGAAATATATACCCCAATCCTTTTTTTCCCATTCTGTTTCCTTTTCAGTGCACAGGAAACTGATCCTAACTGGCCAGCTGAAAATGTCCTTGGTGCAGGCAAGCCCTCAGCTTCTTCACAGCTGATATATAGAAACTTATCTGCAAACTGCCCCTTAGTGCACACTGCTATAGGAGAAAGTGAATGGAGCAGGGTGTACTTTTATTATGCCAGCTCACAACTGATTTACAGTTTTATGGAAATGACAGCCAGTCATTAAAGGAGAACAGGATATAAACTGTATTAATAAATGTTGATGGGTCAGTGTTGGTGCAGATGTACCCTAAGAAACTAGGAAGTGTAACTTGCTGTGTGACAGGTCCTGCCTCCCTCTTCCCTGAACCGAGCACATTGCTGGGTAGGAGAGAATCCATCTGTGTGATACATCTTCAAAGGCATACAGTAAAGACCCGAGGGCTAAAGAACTTACTTGACCATATTCTTAGGAAAACAGTTATTTATATTTTCTCTATCTAATTGTTCATACTATAGGAGAAATTAAAGCAAAGCAGCCATGACTTATAGAAGTTCCTGTTAAACAAGTAGTACTGTCTTATAAATTGTGCATATTGTTTTATTCTTGCATTAGAAACTTTTACATCCATTTTATATATAATTCTTAAGGTTATATACATTTTTCAGTGTAAAATCATGGTCCAGGTAGGTCAGTGCTTAGATTTTAAAATATATTTAATTACATTCCAACTGACATAACTTTGATTTTAATTGGTATGTAAGCCAGCTGACTGCACATTTGTCATGCTCATTAAGTACCATTTTATACATAAGACTGAATTATACCCTTGTCTATACTGAAGCATGGGACAAAGATACACACCTACAGGGAGAGTGAGAGGGATTATGTCTCAGGAAGCATCTTGTGAGCACTTTCTTTGGGGGAGCCTGACAGTGCCTTACGGTATGGACAAACTTAAATTTAGAGCCATTTCAAAATGTTATGTATGGACAGGCTGGAAATAATACAAATGTAGCAGAACCCTTCCAAATTTAACCTTGGATGAAGCAGTGTTAAAGCTGGAGTGGTTTTGCTATGTTTGTATCATTCCCGGTTTGTCCATATGTAACAATTAGAATGTAACAGCTAGTGCCCTTTTAAAATGGCTCCCAATACATGTGTGCATACCCCACACTGTATATCTAGGGGTTGTGACTATTTTCTTACTTCTTTCCCATCCCCTTTTCAGTTATTTGTGTCTCAACCAGTCTTAGTGCTTAACTTTTCCTGCAAGAACAGAATTTGTTTTTGAGTTTGATCTTGGTGTAGGAATTATGAGGGTAAATGGAGTCTTTCCTTGTAGTTTTTTCCCCTCTAGCTCTTGCTCCCATACAAAGAAATGAAAAACAGTGCTTATATTTAAAACAGTCATATTTAAGTTAAAGTAGGTAGTTTAATTTAAATATAAAGGACTTAGATAATATAGTATTCCATACGTTTTTTACAATATGACTTGAATTATTATTAATATAATAAGTACTATGAAACATTGGTGGACCAGATGAATGGCATGAGACCTGACTATGGGTTGAATTGGGGCCTGGGGTCCTGGCATTGTGCTCTCCTGCCCCTGTGTGCCAGGATTGGGTGCTAAGGGCCAGGCATCATCTCCTTCAACCCTCTCTGTGCCAGGGTTGGGTCCTGGGGGCCTGACACCACTCCTGCATGCCAGGATTGGATTCTAGGGGCCCAGTTAGCCCCTGCCTAGCCCTGTGTGCTGGGATCAGGGGGCCTGATCCAGCCTTCAGGGCTTGGGGATCGACAGGTGTCTGGAAATTTGGCAGTGAGGGAAGGTGGCACTGCTCTCTGCTGCTAAATTTTTGGACCTGTAGGGAGCTTTGTGATCCAGATGACATGGTGCTTCAGGACAGATCTGTCCCTTTGGCCGAAGATGGAACAACCCTGGTGTATGGTGATGGGCACACTTAAAATACCAAGATAAATAGGCTTCAAGAAAGGAGGAGAGGTCTGGCTCATGGTAAATATACTTAACAGAAAGCAGTAGTATTCATAACTAGTTGATAACTAGTTGACATATCTATCTGTTGACAGGATTTAACTGGTTTTGGCTCCCTGGACATTTTTATGCAGTTCAGCTTGGTAAATGGAAGTAATGTACAATAATACAAACTGTTCTGAAGCTCAAACTGACTGTAGGAATAGAATCAGGTAAGTCAATTAGTACTTTTTTCTGTTCAGAGTAGAAAGATTTGCAAATATGCTGCTTCTTAAATTACTTTGATTTAATTCAAACATTGTTATCTGTTAATGAATAAATGCAATTTAAAGATATGTTACATGGGCAGTAAATACATAATTAACTGCTTTCAGTTCACGACATTTAGATAGAAGGGTATTCAGGTAGTGACACAACCTTATAAGCCTCACGTGTTTTCACAGTACATCTACTGGAAATCATGCTGAACAATTTCCCCAGGGTTTTCATTTTGTGGGATACTAAGAAATGTATTCAGTTTTATTATTATAAATGAGTGTAGATAATGGTAGACTGCTTAATTCAAAGCTTGCAACTTAAAAGAGAAATAATTATAAAACAATTAAGGGGTAAAAACTGATCTTAACTTGTTTCTGAAGGACACTTTCATTTTTGAAAGTGTATCCAATGAGACATTGGCTCAAATAATCGAATATTCTTGCTTATTCAATGATTACCTTTACTGTATAGTGAAAACATAAATTAGAAAAGTGCCATTCATATTGTCATGAGTTCATAAAGTATTATAAAAAATCACTGACATATTTCAAAGTATTTAGACATTAATGAAAATGAAAAAATATTACATTTTTCTTGGGTTAATTTCTAAATATATTCCTCCATCACAGTGTTTCTCAACCTTTTAAGTAGCAACTCCCCCCTAAATTTTAATAAGTACCCCAACACTCAATTTTCCAGAGGATTTTATATTTACAGACTAATGTGTGCCATATGTTGGAAGAAGGGCTGTGTATATAAGGTTGTGATATGACAGATGTCTGATCTGGTGTGGGTAGGGTTGCCACCTTTTACACCAGGGATGCACAACTTGAGTATGTACCTGTGCTAGAGGTGATATTGGCCAAAGCTAGGAGGGCTAAACCCATGCCATATTATTACTGGGGAATTTAAAGCACTGCACAGTGCATGGTGATCAAATTTTTTGCCATAGTTTTGAGAGGAGGAAGGGGTAAGAGAGAGGAAAAGAGGGTGAGAGAGAGAAAAAAAAAGGAAAAGAGGGTGTGAGAGAGAGAGTGTTAGGGTATCTGTGTACACCCCGCCTGTGTCTCGCATACCACCAGGGGTATGTGTATCACAGGTTGAGAAACTATGTTCCATCAGACATCCAGAAGGGACTATTTCCCCTTCCTTAGCTTTAGCAAATCCATCTACTAAAATATACATCAACATCAACATTTAATTAAAGGCTTAAAATGAATTTTCTAATTCTAATATACTAGTGAACACATGCACACTAAGTTAGCTTAAAAAGTAATGGTTTTAAATTCTCAAAATTACTCACTTGTGCATTATGTCAGGTATTTAATTTAAATAGTGGCACTCTTCCCTGAGGCCTTCCATTGGCACTTGGAGTGATACATGTCTGCCTCCTTATCCAGACTGAGGGGAATTGTTCTACCTTCTGATATATAAAAGTTTGAAGACCTTTTTTCTTTGATATTGATATTATTGTTATTGTATTATATCACTACAATACTATCATAGTGAAGAGAGAGTAGCAGAATATGGCACTCTCATAAATGTTATTTCCACTGAAATGTCCAGATCATTGTTTGCAGACGAGTATGGTGGATCACTTACCTAACCAACTTGCAATCTGGTAGTACTTATAAAATAAAACCAAATGTTGAAGATATAGTATAAACCAGTATAATATTTTAGTTTAAATAAAATAATATAGCATTAGGGCCAGATCCAAACTAATCTTCTAGGTACCTTTACTCAGGTACCACAACCCATACACTTTAGGCCTCTTGTACATTGAATGAAGACTCTTGGGGTGCCTATACACGTACTCTGATGCATTCCGATTAGTGCGTTCTAATTAGAATGCTCCAGCATGCTGCAGTGTCTCATGTATTCAGTGTCCCACATTTCAAAATAGTGGCAGGGGCATTTTAACTAGAACTGATTACATGAGCTTTAGTTAAAGCACCCTTGGGGCCATTTTGAAATACGGGATGTGGAAGACAAGAGACACTGTGGTGATTTAATTAGAGTGCCCCCCACCCGCAACCCTGGACCATATGAATATGCTCCTTTAGTGCTTCCCAAATGCTATCCAGATGGCCTCATTGCTCAGCAGGGAGACACCTGCAGCTAACCAATAGGAAAAGGGAAACTAAAAGGTTTGCATAAACTTCCACTCCTTCTTAGAGTGTAAGCATCTATCTTAGGGCTGTAATGAAAGCACTTCCTTTACTTTGTCCTAAGATTCAGGTTGCTTAGAGGAGAGACACCTACCTTGAGCCAGAATACCTAAATGAGAGCAGCACTAAGATTAGTATGAAGCACAACATTTCCCATTCACTCCTGAACACAGATGGTGGCACCACCCACCTTTTGCCCAGGACTTAGTGATAGGAACGCATAGGTATGTAAGTAAGAGACCTGGGTTCTAGGTCCTCTTCATCCTAAGGCAATTCAAACCCACAACTCTCAGTTTTCAGGACAGTGCCTATGTTCAACTGGATGAGAGACTATTCCCCCTGCC